CCGGCTCGCATTCCGCTCCGCACTCGCAGCTCGCGATCCCCTGTCGGTTGATCACGCACTGCTCGTAGGAGCCGCACTTCGCTTCGTCGCACGGATTGATTCCTGCACAATAGGGATCGAGATTGAAGAGAGAGAGAGAAAAGAAAAACGGGACCACATTTTCAACGCGTGTCACGCGTCCCCAAGTCCCTTCTACAACAGCAGCAACAATAACAACAATAGTGGGTATTATTGGGGACGTTTATTCGAACGTTCGTCGAATTGGGATGAGGAGAAGAATGCGAAGGGCGTTTGATTTTTAAATTCTCGTGATAACGAAACGTTGAAGATGAATTAGAATTGGGTTCTGCTGATGATATTATTCCTACGAACGAATTACCTGAGCTGCACGCGCCATTGTAGACTTTCCTCAGGGATAATCTGGATCTGCAGGCTTCCTGCCTGAGGCTGCACTCGTTCGAGTATGTTTTACCATCGCTTCCGCAAACCGGGGCGAACTCGAGGCCGCACTGCTCGCCGCAACGACAGCCAGGCTGCCTCGACTCGTCCAGCTGACAGATTTCCGGCTCCACGCACTCCACGTTGCCGCAAGGATCTGGAAAATTAAATTGCGGCAAGTGCTCGCTTCGAGTCACGTTCCAACACGGATGAAGACGGCGCGTTGTTAATCAAACGCTCCACGCTCGATCGTAAATTCTTCGGTGGTTGGGATAACGACGCGAACGTTATCCATATCGTCCAGGAAATAAATCGTTCCCTGTGAATTTTCTCCTCGGGAATTAACCTTCATTTGCAGTTAACTCGTATCATTTTTGCGATAATTGAGAAACAGAAAGCAGAAATGGATAAAAGGAAATTTCATTCTCTTCTCTGTCTTAAGCGAATCGAACGTCGAAGAACGTGTCACGCGCTTCTCGATTAAAAACAAACGTTTCCTCGTTATTGAAAAATCGCTACTTTCGTTGTCCTCGTTGGCGTAATCGAGGAACGAGCTCGAGGGAAAGAAATTCTCCTGGGAAATTGACGCGGTTACGCGGGTTAAGGACGTTGAGTCGGTCGAAGGAGAGTCGGATTGATAAAGGCGGATGGAACTAGGCCGAGGGGAGGAGGGGAACAAGGTGGAGGAGAGGAGGCAAGCTCGAACAGCGGCACAGGTGGAAGAAGCATGGCCGCGGCGAGATTAATCTTCGCCCTCGGAGGAAGGAAGTTGGATTCCGTTTCCTGTCCGTGGGCGGTAGGTAGGGTAGGTTTCGAGGTTAGAGAGGGGCCTGACGCGGCAACTCGCCGAGGCGGTGGTGTTTCTCGGGGGTTGGTTCGAGTTACAGCCCAGCGGAGCGGCTAACCTTCCGCAACCACCCTCGTTTCTTCCTCCTTTCGTCCGCCGCCGGTTTAGCGGATCGTTCGAGAGTTGTAATCCAAGTCCCCCGACCACGCAAATATTCCCCTCTCGCACGCCTCGTCAAAGTTTCCTTTCCCCCTCCCCACAGAATCGTTCGATTCTATCCTATCCTCTGTTTCTCGATAATTTATGGCCGTTGTGTGATTCCTTTGTTTTTGAGGAAGGAAAGAAATCGTCATCGAAAAAAACTTCCCTTATCTTCTTAGGATAACTTCTTCCCTTCCTACGGAACGCGACCTTCTCTCAAAGAAGGACCGAGGACGAGGACCGAGGGATTCTCTAAGCTGCCGGCTCTAACTTTCCGCGACATTACCCTGATGCGAATTTCTTTGTATCGTCATCAAAGCATCTCTAAGGATCTTCCAGGTATCGGCGTCTGTTCGTCGTTATCCGAGAAAAGTACGGGTGCCGCGAGTGCGCGTAACGATGCCGCCGCATCGTGTGCACGAAACGTTTCATCCCTTCGACTAAATAACTCTTCTCGAACGTATCTGGAGAGAGAAAGAGAGAGAGATTTTCTCCTACCTTCCTACGAAAATCTTTCCGAGAATAATTTCCGAGACAGTTCGAATTTCTGGCGATAATTTTTCCAACCCGACCCCAACCCTCTCGTGAATGTAATTCGAGAAGCTGGGGAAAAAAAAAAGAAAAAGAAAGAAAGAAAAAAAAAGATCTCGCGAGAAGCGGTTGGCATTAAAACAACGTTGAATATAAAGCGGCGTGAAAGAGGAAGGGAAGAGCGGAGGGGAGATGGAAGTAGGTGGACGGATGAAAGGAAGAGGGGGGAAAATGGAAAAAAGATCGGGACAGGTTGGCGTCACTTGAAACCGTAAAACCCCTCGTAAATTGCCTTAAAGCTCTTCGATCGTGGACAGAGTGCGTCGAGTCGCTCGATTCACACCCCCCGTTCCACACCCCCTCGGGCGATTTCGTCGAACAAAAGCCATCCGGCCCGTCGATAAAACTGTGTTTAAAATTCCCGCGTCGCCGCGAGCCAATTGTTTTTAAGTCCGTCGCTAAGAGCCACGCCACCTCTCATTTTCTCACCCCTTCCCCCTTTCCTCCTCTCTCGAACTCTCTCGTTCACTCTCTGCCTCTCCAAACTCAACCCCCTCTCGACGGCTGTCTCCAACGGCAACACATCCCCCCTCCCTCTCCTCCTCCCCTTCTGTCTAATCTTCCGAGTTACGCGAAACTTTCTACGTGGCCCGTAGACTACTTTTTTCACACCTCTCCCCTCTTCTCTTCGTACTACCTCGACCAACTCTCCCACTTCTCTTTCTCTCTCTCTCTCTCTCTCTCTCTCCACCCCTTTCTGTACCCGTGACCTCCTCTCGTTGCAGCCGTATTTTGCATTCCCGCGGAATAACTTTCAGAAAGGAATAATAAGCGGACGGGGTGGAATAAGAAAGAAGTTGTCGCGGGGATAAAGTGGTAAGTGGCGGATAAAGGGAATTGAATTGAGTTTGGTCAACGAATTGAAAGATCGCTAACTTCTTTCTCTCTTTCTCTTTCTGACGTTCATTCTTATTTCGTGCTTGGTTATGGTTCCGGTCGGTTTATCCTTTTTAGCATCTTCGTGAGTTATCCTTTTCCTTCGTATTTACGCGTTGTCCGGTTGGACGAGCAGAAACGACAATTTTTATTTTTTTTATAAATGACGTTTAAATATTTTCTTATAAGCGCATCGAAGCGAGAGAGGGAGTAGTCGAGTGTATTATTTCGTATGTATAGGTTAAGTAAGTTTATCGAGTGATTCGTGATGGAGAATCGACGGGAACGTGATTTTTATTTTATTTTATTCCATTTTACAATTTCGAGCAAACACGCGAGGCGCTTTCGAAACACTGGGATCAGGTTTCAAAATTTCGTTTGTAGCTTTGTGTACCACTATCCGTTTCAACAGAATTGGTAGTTTTGCGTAGCTTTAGCTTCCCAACGTTCAATAGCTGCAGCGGTTTCGCGTAGCTTCGCTGCGGTTTCGAAAATTTCGCAACTTCATGTAAAACTGAAAATTCATCGAAGGCCGGTTAAAACCGGAAAGTTGGAACGTTGAAAAGA